TAACAGGCATAACAGGCATACAGTGCACAACCATCTCAACCATACACTACAACTCCTTCCCTTTTCCTCACTTAATATATTCAGGTATATTAGGGTATATTAGATTCCACTTACACTACCATTCCTACCATACATACCAGTCCATACACTACCCAATGCCTGCCAAATGCATATGAGGAACAGGAGGCGCACAGGGATCTGTGTTGCGAATCTATTATGCCATACCATAACATAGTTTTCAATTAAATCATCATAATCGTAATGATTATATGAAAATATAGTGTTTTATTGTTTACAATATTGTATTCAAAATTGAGATTTTAAAGTTAAATTACTTTATATTTTGTGTTTATTAAGATAATGTTTCATTCAACCTTACCTTATTATTTTTAAAACATATTAATTATTATTATTCTGATAAAATGCAAATGTAAATTGTAATATTGATGTTAATCTACTAGTACAGTATTAAGATATCAATATTTAAAGTACAGTGAAAATATTTTTTGTTTCTCGCATATTAGTCAGAAAGAGAGTATAGTATTTAATATATTTTGCAAAATTAATATTTTTGTGTCTAATTATCATGAATTTTGCACACCCTATGAGCAGAATAAGTTAGGGGTTATGCAAATGCCTAACAATATAAAAGTGCATATAAAAGTATTAATACTTTTTTGTTATGCTTTTCAAAGTATATTATAATTTATTCTTAATAAAAATGCTTTGAGATTATTAGATATTATTAATAAAGTGAGTGACTTGTCGTTAACGTGTTGTTAATGCAAACTTGAATTCAACTCAAAAGCCACTAAATTTTTTCTGTGAGAGTGTATGACTTGAGTGAAGTCATGCATATTAAACAATAAATGTGTTGAGAGTTTAGTTAAATTAATAAAATGTTATGTAAAGTAAATTCACTTTCATCTCGACTTTCATATTATTGCCGCCAAAAAGAAAGTGAATTCATATATGAAGTTGTGTTTTGTTTCGTTTACTTTTAATACATTTTATTTTGTTTTGTTGTGATTAATACGCTGAAGAGATTCTTAACCTGTAATTATGTCTTGAGATAAAAATCACAAATTCTTCCACTTCTCTGCTCTCCTTATAAATATTCAATTCTAATGAAACCATCACAATGTATACCATAGTCTCTCTCTCTCTCTCTCTCTCTCTCTCTCTCTCTCTCTCCACAAAAACTTATTGGTTTGATAGCAATGACAGAACACAGTGTTGTGTAAAAGTTATAGGTTTGCCGAATCCAAAGGTGCGAAATAACAAACTCTTTGAAGCGAATTAAAAAACTTGCGACAAAACCGAGAATAAGCTGAACGACAAGTGCGGGTCAGTTAACCCACTGAAGCAAATGTAACGTTACGTCGAGTAAGAAGTTTATAATATACTGCGCTTTCAATATAGGGCTCACATCATGTATTTGAATATTTAGAGTCTAAAGAAATATATTCTCACTTTCTTTTTGTATTTTTTTGTATAAATTTTATTTTTTATTTTATTTTTTAATTATAGATATTGCTTAGATTTGAAAAAATTGTTTAATTTTTGGATACAAGAAGAATAATAGTACTATTATTTATTTATAAAGTTTTATTATATCTTTGTTTTGGCACAAATCTATACAATAGTGAGACAAATGGACAGTTAATCTTGAGTTTCATGTGAGCTGACACAGGCATCGGCTGTTTCTATTGGAGTGCCTTATTCTGTAGTTGTGTATAGTAATGGAAAAAATGTGAGTTTCAATAGCAGTATCGATGGAATAAAATATAAGTCTAACAAAGTATAAGTGACTTATATATAGAGAAAACAGAGAATATGTCAGACTTTTTGTTAGAATAAGAATAAAAAGAGAATTTTTAAAATAGAGTACAAGTTTTGAAAGCATAAGAATATACAGAATATATAATATAATAGATTGGATGGCAAGCGATGTACATATCTAGCCATTCGGTACCATACGATCTACCAGAGCATAGCCTACTGTAGCGCAGTGTATGGCACATGTATGTGATGCTCTGGCAATGGTAGGGAACAGTAGTCCTTAGCCTCGGGACCTGTCACCAACACTTGGCGAACCAAAAACGCCAACTCATTTTCTCAACAATTCCTGTGCTTCAAACCGTTTATATATTGTGTGTATATATTGTATGCCTTTCCACTCGTCAGAGGGGAGAACCGATAGACGGATAGTTACGGAGAGAGAGAGAGAGAGAGAGAGAGAGAGAGAGNAATGCAAAAATTAATTTTTATCTCTCTCTCTCTCTCTCTCTCTCTCTCCGTAACTATCCGTCTATCGGTTCTCCCCTCTGACGAGTGAGCGAAGGGAATGGTATATAACAAGAACCGATAGACGGATAGTTACGGAGAGAGAGAGAGAGAGAATGGTATATAACATGGGCTCCCGTTTTAAAAACTACAAAAGAGAGGGCTTTTAATACACAACACAAGTGTTCAGTGCTGTAGGTCTTTGATATTAAATGACACAAATCTGATGATGAAAAACACAAAATACACACATATTCTCAACATTTCGTATTCAATTGAGTTTAGAAATTGAATGAAATAACGGCCCAAAGCGGTGCAAAAGATTATGAAAATGAAAAAGTTTTTCATTTAATTTTTGTGACACATATTTCTCTACCCTTTTATTAAAAAATATATAATTCTCTAATCGCTGTTATGCTTAACTCTAATCTAAATACTGTACTAGCTGCACTTATAATTTGTTGCATTAAATACAATATATTTCTATAGTCATTGTGTGTCGGAGTCTGTGGTCACCCCTTCACGCCATTCACACATACTTTTCCCTCGAAAACCACTTACCATTGAAGTGGCGTTTTTGTGACCATCAAGTTATACCACATACTTATAACTTGATATAATTATAACGACACATAATTCTCACTTTTATATGACAAGAATTGTATACTACCTTGATTTAAGTAGACCCTGGATATACGGATAAACTTTCAAAAGTAAACCTTTAGCAGAATATTAGTTTAAAAATTGAAAACATATAAAATTGTGTATTCGTTGGCAAGTATACGCCTCTGGAGAATGAAATCCTATTTGAATCACTTTCACTATCTTTTAGGGATCAATGATTTAACAAAAGTATGTTTTCCGTCAATAGTAAGCCTTTAATAATAAGCATTACATTCACACAAAATCTAGAATTTTGTGGCTTTTAGTCAATAGAGAAATATTCAAATTATAGTTCAATTTTAAGACTCAATTATAATATATTTGAACCATTTTTTTGTAAAAAGGCATCCTAAATATTCAATACTTTATATTATATTATTGTCAAAATATTTTTATATAATATATTCCCCGTTTAAGTTGTATTTAAAAGAGTTTTTGACTATTTTTGAATATAAAAGGACAAAATTCTTTAGAGTTGTATGTAATCTAAAATCGATTAAAAGCGGAATTTATATTTTATTTAAGATCTTTTGCATTACATAATATCCGTTTAATATTATTGTAATTCTTACTAACATTCATTAAATAAAATTAATCAAATAAAGTTAATTAATTCATTTATTTTTATTAACGCTTATATTTTAATATTTATTATTTTGTAAATTGTTATTCAAAAGTTTAAATAACATCTATTATCTAAATACACATATTACACAAAAATTTCAAACATAATCAATTCATAAAATATTTATTTGGAGATTTAAACATTTTATAGAAATTGTTAAAGCCTTACTGAATAATTTGAGGGCACCTACAGCTTGCTTTAAGTTAATGAGTGGGAGAGAGAGAGAGAGAGAGAGAGAGAGATAAAAATTAATTTTTGCATCTCTATAGACGTGGGCTTACATAATTTTTTATTTTTGACAAATTTTCATAAATAAAGCAAAAATACAAATAAAAACAATTTCATTTAGGTATTAAATAATGTGTTTAATGAGTAGTTGTTTGAATGACTTCTAATTCTTAGCATATTATTCAAAGCAAAATAAAATAATTGAAATCTAAAGTCATTTATTTTATGGTCTTTTCTACGAGTAATAAATAGGGAAATGATTAATACAATAATGATTCGTTCAATTAAGTCATAAAACAATAAAATAAATATAAGAATGCATTTGATATCTATATCTATATACATATAACAATATAATACACTATTTTGTTAATCCATTTATCAGATTTAAGTTTCATATTTCTCTATTCAGTAATAAAATCGCATTTAGTGTCAGAATAATTAATAAATTGTGTTTAAAAATGTACACATAATGTACACATACAGTATATACGTGTTTGTATACACGAACGTAAGGATTGATTTATTTTCTAACTTAATTGAAATGCTTTTGAATACTAAAAGAGAGGAATAGTTTAGAAAATACTACACAAATAGCAATGAATGCATCCATTAGTGAGAAGTGAATGAAAGCCATATCTCAAGTCAATTAGATGTCAAAAAATTATGGCATACAATGACTGGACTCATGAAAAGAAGTGAATCATTACACTGCTATCTCTGTCATCACTAGTGGTCATAACTTTTTTATCGCCAAAAATGGGTACTCATTGGAAGTGATTTTATTTGAAAAACATTAAGACGAGAGTATCTGCTGCTGATTGTCATCATCTCATCCAATGTATGGACAAAAAAACTTATAAAAGTTGATGAGATTTGAAGCTATGAGTCAGTTGTGACCGTAAATAATGTTCGCATGTTTGGGACACAATTGGATGCGAGAGAGAGAGAGAGAGAGAGAGAGAGAGAGGCGAGTGAGTGGAGAGTGGGATAGAGATAGAGAGAGATAGAGAGTGAGGGAAAGGGAGAGTGGATGTGGACGTTGTCTCATACCTGTCAAACACACCCGCCGTTTGTACTGTTCACTCGCTCTCAATAATATTTTCATTGAGACTTGTGTTGGGAACAGATATTAGGGATAGTGTATGAACCGCACAATTATTTCTTGCAATACTCGGCCTCTATATTAGTGGCGGAAACAGATTTGCAGGCTTTCAATGACTACCACTGGTCTCTCGCACTGAACATTAAGTTTCATGAAATTTATTTAATTAAATAGTTAGTTAATCATTAATTTTGATTTATTTGTTAATAACTTTCAGATTAAAATTTATATTAAGAGATCACAGCCAACATGAATTATAAGCTATTTTTCGATTCAATGGTGTTTTATGAGTTCATTGCAATCAAATCATTAATCAAAATGTTTTGAAAGAAATTAATTAAATGCTTTACAATAGAATAGTTTACTTAAAAGAATTACAAAAATATTTGGATTAAAATGGTATGATTTAGACATAAATGGTATGCAATATGTTTTTGATCCAAACAAGTGCTCCAAATATAGATAAAAGCATATATGGATTTGTATCTCATTTTTCATTTCAAAGTTTCAATACTGCACTCAAAGCTAGGCTTCTGTTAGACTGTATCCACAGTTATGTTGGCTTCCAATCCATTGATGAGGAAAACTATATCATAGGATACCATATGAGCCGACGTTTTATCAATGATATGATCAAATGCAATTCAATTCAATCACTCAAACACAGCGATTCATACGATGGCAAACGGCTTTTTATATTAAAAACAAAACAAAATCCGCTCTAAAACCTCTATTTCCATATAAATATATGAATAAATTGATGCCCTATTGTATGCATAATACGAATATAAAATCTATTTTTCCATTTTCTTCTCTCCAGTCCTAGCAATGAGTTTTCGGTTAAAAAAGTAAAATGCATCACAAAATCGTTTATCCATTTATTCATACTTTTCATGTTTATTCACATTTTATTCTTGTTTTCAGTCATTTCATGAATGCAATGATAAAATTATGGTTTAATTTCATGATAATCAATAGAACAGGTGTTTCTTAATCGTAATCATAATAATTATGATTTTATTTATTTATATTTATTTCAAATGAATGTTTAGTCAATAGATTACAAATGAGATAAAAAGCAAATATAAAGACTATATTTAAAACCGGAGAACAAAGGCTTTATTCTCACGATTATTATTCTTTACGCCGTTTTTCGATTGAAATTTGTTTTTCTTATTCACATATTATTTGTTAAAATCTGTGTTTTGAAGGTTTAGATCGCATTTATTTGTCGATTGTATGCAAACGCTATACATATTCGGCGCAAACAATAAAGATGTCATCCTTTGATTGGATGCGAGTATGAATGGCAAGACTGGTGTCTCTCTGTTATCCATATCCCTGTCATCCCTGTTATCCATGTAATGCCTGCTATAATATGCGGCCGGATATTCAAATGCATTCATAGGATCGTTGAGTCTAACTCTTGTAATTGCCGCACATTTCTTGTAAACGTTTGAATCAAACATCGGATGCGACGACAGATCGCAATCACTCTCAAGAGATCTGATTCTCAAATCTATTGCATTGTTTTCCTCCGATTTCTATTCATTTGAATAAATAAATAAATATTCAAAATATAAATAATATGAGCACTCATTTCTCATGCATCTACACGTTTATAGGACTATATATTTTGTCCGATTCTTCTATACAAAACAAATGATATCTATATTTCTTACGATTTGAATGTCGTTTTGTTTTAAATGTTTCAAAGTATGATCAAATGTAAGCGACCCCAATGTGTCTGCCATATGAGGGGCCGGTACGTATGCCGTCTCCCTGACCGATGCGAGTCCACCGAAATTCTTGAGACGAGAATTCTTACGCCATTTGGCTCTTCGGTTCTGAAACCATATCTATTCACAAATTAATAAATCAATTTGAAATACTAGACCAAATGATTTGAACAAATAAAATCAAACCTGCATTTTGGACATTGAAATACTTGTCTCACTGGCCAACACTTCCATTTGCTGAGTGTCCGGGTAATGGGTCTCATGAAAGACTTTCTCAAGTTTTCGGATCTGCCATAAGTTGAATCGAGTTCTGCATCGCTTTGTTGCACTTTCTTTGCAATTCATTTTCACTGACATTTGTGTGAAATGAATGAATGGACCAAATAGTGTGATGTCTTATGAACTTCTGGTTTATCACTTAAACATCCAATCTTTCATCGCTTAAAAGCAAATACAGCTTATTATCAAATATTAGATTTAATTATCAAATTTACACTCAAATATCACTTAAGTATGAAATTATAATATAGAAGATATAGTTTTCGGTTTATTAGCCCAAACTTTAAGCCACGGCATGAATAATAGTTGTTGTGTTATATATAAGGAGTTTATAAATGGAAACTTGAAATTTAAAACTCTTAAACTTTTCAAATGATATAATTTAATGAAAATAATGATTTGAAAGAAAGAATATTATTTTATGCATAAAAGCCGATTAAATACAAACAATTGTTAGAAAGTATGAATGAAAATGAATTTCTCCGAAAGCAGTGGTGAGTGAATAGTGGGCCTGAAGTGTGTGCTTAACTATAATACGGTGCCTGAATATAAGCTGAAAAATATTGATAATGAGATAAGATATCACTAACTATTACATGATTACCCATAAATTAATGTCTGCAAATGTGTCAAATACAGGAGCAGTGCTACTAAAACCTCCCGTCGCTTAAGAGCAATAATAATGCTGTCATTTATGATATGATGAGCACTACTCTCGCAATTGCTGTACAGTATATAAGAGCTTGGTCATAATTTTTACGACCATTTCTTTTGTGTACACTATTATGAGAGCACTGCTATTAACTCAAACCATTAATAAGTTTGAGTCAATTAAACATTTGATACACAAATGCATTTAATACAAGAATACTGGGCCCACAATCGATGCCTCAATAATGAGGTTGTGTTGCAATTGTGACAAATAAATACACGTCTCTATCACTCTATGATTGTGTTTTTGCCTCGATAACAAACTCTTGAAATACTAATTCAAACACCACTGTAAAAATAGATGCTTGAAAAACAAATAATATAAATATAATTACTAATTATATTGTAGTCTAACACTAATCAGTGTGAGAGAGATCTGAACGAAATATAATTAAATTGCTTTTAAATTATGTATAGAATAATAAAAAGTTGTTTTTATGACTTTTATTCCTCATTAAAATGTGCGATAAATGTCTTCAATAGGATTCCTGTCTATAATTTATGCCTTTATTAACAATATTTCGATTATAAAAACCTGAGTATTTTAACGATTAAATAAATTGATTGTAAAATTAGTGGCAATATTTTTATGCTTATAATAAATGTGACAAAAGTATAGTTTAATTTTACAACGATTATTTAAAATAACTTTTAACGCCTTATAAAACAAAATATATAGCATGTTGTTATCGATACTAATAAATAATTACACAGTATAGATAAATTTTTAATAAATATATAAAATACAATTTTAAGTAACCACCAATTAACTAATGTTTAAAAATAAATAATAAACTAAAAATCAATTTAAATATTCACTAAATATGAATCTAAATAGAAAAAATTTGCATGTATTTAATAAATTGCCTAAACCACTTTTAAAGTAATTTTTCATTTGTTTGATTAAAAATCTTACCGTTAATGATAGAGAAGTCTTAAATTTCATCAGTTTTTGTTTAAAAATAACTAAAATGTCAAAATATTTGCTGTTTTAAATAAAAATAACCCTTGATATGACCCTCATTGCATGACTTGTAATGCTCTCACATAATTAAAAACCTATTATTTATTATTCGTAATAAATATGATGAATAGATCCTAGAGCGAGTTTTTATTTTTCAACTAATTAATGGGTAATTTGTATTAAATAGAATTCTTGATAATGTACACAAATTGTATTAAAAGGTCCCGGGCGCGACCTTTTAATAAACTAAGAATTAGTTTAACAAGGATTGTGATCATAAAGATTGGTTTTAATTTAAATATAATAGTAGTTATTGAGTTTTCTGAGTCCTTCTCAGTTAACTAGAAAACATATTTCTAATTCATTAAAAGTACTTATAAACTATGAACTGATTTACAAGTTAGTTATAGCATTCAACTCAACAAATTGTTTATTTAGTTGCAATTTTTGAGTTACGATTTGATAGAAAATATTTTAGATTGAAAATAAACCAAAACAATTACAATTTGAATACAATTTGAAAACTTAATTTTTAATTTACAAATCAATACATAATTTCGGGGTTTCTGTGGAAGAGATT